AAGCAGGCTGTAAGTGGCAAACTCGAGAACAACGGCAACATTCCATTCTGCTATGCAAACTCGTACTATTACAAGAGCCTTCAAGGAGTTGGAAGACTTTCCTTGATAAGCGACACTAAGATAATAGTACAAAACACTAATAAATACTGAGAATTCTTTCATCGTTTGCAAAGAGTAGGACAAAGCTTTGATAAATAATGAACAAAATTGTCACTGCTCTAGAAAAGTTACACACCTCAAGAATTTATTGGAGTCTTTTACCGGCTTAGATAGTTCAGGGCATCAGGTAATTCACTGGACTGCCTCTGACCAGGAAGTCTTAGAGTTCGAGTTCCGACGGTGGCAGAATTTTCGACTGTAGGCATTTATCTATTTCGAATTCAGTCTATGCCTGGAGGTGCCGCAAAAACATTCAGTTTCGCCCGCATAAACGAAATAATCCATCAATCAATCTATCTAAACCTATTCTATTCATTTTGTCCACGTATTTCCAACATCCTCGTATTTCGTCACATCACAACGCTGCCGGTTTTTGATACGAGCCGCATATCTTGTTCACCGACGATACGCCGGCAAAAGCACTTGCATATCGCATTACGTTATCGTCCGCGCGACCGCACCCTTCGCAGCGCAGGAATAAGCGCGTACGGCGACGCGTCCTCGCTTTGTTTGCGCGGCATTCGCGGAACGCATAAGAAGCAGCGAAGGGCTATTTGGGCGCCGCGCCACGCGGGCGGTCGACGCTTCGCCCGCTTTTTATAGCGCTGGCACATCACTCGATGGGCGCCCGCCGCCGCCACCGCCTCCGTCACCGCTGATGCCGATGCCACCGTAAAAACTGTCGGAAACAAGGTGGCTGGTCATAGAAAACAAAGTGGCGGTCGCAAAGAAAGTGGGTTTGTTTGGAGCTGTCCTTCGAAGCGCGTTTCAGTTGATGTGGTTCGCGTGTCGTTTCACTTAATTCAGTAAAATTAAAGAGCAATTATTGCTGTTTGTACGAGTTAGGTTGTGATTGATTTTTGTATCGTAGACCATCATGTTTTAGGTGAAAAATAAACAATTATTATTTGTACTGTTGAAGGATGAAATCATCCAGGATTATTCGTCAGTTAAAATAAGAATGTGAAAAACAACTGAATATTATTCGGTTAAAATGAGTTATTACTCAATTGATTGAATGAGTATGAATATTAGGGATGAGTGAATATTAGTGAATGAATATTATTAAAACGTCAATCTCATAATAGTTTTTCGTATTTCAAACGATAGATACATCCTGAATGCATAAAGCTAGTAATTGCAATGATCCACCGGTAAACTTGATTGCTTTACTGTTATTTCCGCTTGGCACATTTTTGTGAGTACGTTTTTAAATGGAATAGCCTATTGTTGTCACATGAATCCTCTATGCGAGTTTCTTTGAAAGTTCATTCATTCTCAGGCATAAAAATTATATGAAAGAGTACTAATATAAATATATTTTTTTTAATTTGCTTAATTTCAAAATTAGGCTTAAAATAATCTTCAATATGATCGATCAAGTTGCAGGGATTTCTGTTTTGCCGGAAAGGCAGTATCATAATTCTAAGCTTTTCCCCTAGGTACGGAAACACCAATAAACATATTTTTTATTGTTCTTTTTCAGTATTCAAGAAGGTTACACTAAAATGAGTGTCAATCAATTCATCTTGTCTATAGGAATCGAATGACCTATTGATAATATTTGTAGGTGCCTTAACCAGAGGGTTAAATTGTGTAAAAAGAGATTTACTCCCCCCCGAAAACGTTATTTTTCGAGAATCCTCTCAGAATATTCTGGAAGAATCTGAAAAAATGTCCAGTTTTCAATGAGTAGTTCGAGGCATGTCAAATGACATCTGACGTTCCCAAAAGTTGGACCCAAACAGTTTTAACATACATAGAAGAACAGGCGGGCGCAGATTTTTTTGCTATGTCACTGCCTCATGTTGACAATGTTCTACCTTGCTTTGAGCAAAATTTGACAGGAGAGCTTTTCGAAATCTTGTCTAATAAAGAGACGTAAATTTTGTAATGGAACTGAGGTTTCTTTCATAGAAGTTCTTGTATAAGTCCGATTTGTAAACTTTTATTACTTTTATTTTACTTTTTTTATTACTTTTATTGCAGATATGCCAATGGGGAATTCCAAGAAGCTGTAGCTTCCAAGAAGTGAAACGCTCCACATTGTCATTTTCCTCATCTGAACTTGATATGTATCATTCAAAACAGAACGTTTTCGCTCATTCTTTATCATATTCGCTAAATATCTAGAATGTCATAGTTATGTAGCCGTTTTAAGGATAGACCAACCATTCTATTTAGTCAGGGTTGTTTGAAACTTCTTGCATGGCCTGATGCTGCTTACACGAGCCCTCCTCCCCCGCACACACACACAGCAACAACATGCCTCATCAATTTCACAGGAGCGTTTTGTTTGCATTATAGCGGTAGCAAAAAATCCTGAAGTTAATTGGCGGAGGATGCTTGCATCGGAAACAATGAAGAGAGTCGGTGCTGCACATAAATCAAAACGTTTTAGAACGACAAAATACCACTAATGAGGGTTCACACGTGTTTAAGTCAGTCTCACAAGTGCTGCGTTGCCAGAACGCGATAATCAGCTGACTGTTCTGAGAATTGAGCGGGAAACTATTCTTAGTGCCCCAAACGCGACCCTGCACTCCCTCAAAGCTGAACCTAGACCGAGACTTCTCATTCGTCAAGTGGCTGTCACCAGCCGTTGTATAAGGCCTCCACGAATAAACTGCATAAGCAGGTGTAGGCGTCCACGACACAGGACAACGACGCGAATGGATGCGGAGCGGGGGTCACGGAGAACGGAGCGGGGCGAAATGGGGAAGAGCAGTACGGGCCGGGGCGAGGCGGGGCGAGGCGGGGAGAGGCGGGGCGGGGCGGCGGTCAAGGTGGGCAGGCGGGACAAGGGTGGGGTGGGGTGGGGCGGGGCGGAGCGGGGCGGGGCGGAGCGGGGCGGGCGGAGCGGGGCGGATCGGAGCGGGCGGAGCGGGGCGGAGCGGGGCGGAGCGGGGCGGATCGGGGCGGCAGCGGGCGGAGCGGGCGGAGCGGGGCGGCAGCGGGCGGAAGCGGGGCCGCGAGCGGGGCGGAGCGGGGCGGGAGCGGGGCGGAGCCGGGGCGGAGCGGGGCGGAGGCGGGGCGGAGCGGAGCGGAGCGGAGCGGGCGGAGCGGGGCGGGCGGGCGGAGCGGAGCGGAGCGGAGCGGGGGGCATGGCGGTGGCGGGCGGCGGGGAAGAGAGGCAGGGGAGGGGATTCTGCTCTGCCGCTCGCGCCCGGACCCCACCTCCACTCCGCCGACGCCCCACAACTCCGCGCTTACTCTCGAAGGCGCGCTGTTGTTAGTCCTGTGTCATGGGGTCCACACCTGCTTACGCCGGTTTATTCGTGAGACTAATGCCCTGCCATCCAGGTCAGGGGACCCTGCCGCATTAAGGGAGAGTGATGGACGCCGCGCGGTGTTGAGTTTGGCGGGGCGGGGCGGGGTCAAGAGGAACAATACGGAACTGAGCGGGACCACGTGTTTTGAGGCTTAATGGCATGCCTTAGGGTAAGGTCGTACTTGGGGGAGCGTTATTGGCCAGGGCGCGGCCCGGCGTGAGAGGACGGAGCGGGTGAGGCGGGATGGGAGAAGCGTGATGTGACAGCATGGCATCGCGATGCAGAGGAAAGAGAGTAGATGTGGTGTCTAGAAGAGCGAGGTGATATGTGGCGTACGGGCATGGGACGTGATGAAGCGGAACTAAGCAGGTTGGGCTCGATCCGGCGTGACAGGACGGGGCGGAACGGGGTGAGATATGCGTGACGTGACACAGCGTGTTACGTCGAAACGGAGTGCAGCGGGTCAATGTGGAGCCGAGTGGGGCAAAGTGTTTTATGGCGTACTGGCATGGAGCGAAGTGGAGCGGTACTGGGCAGCGAAAAGCGGAGTGGGGCACGACCCGACGTGTCAAGACGGGACGTGACGTGATGTGGCATGGCTTTGCAAGGTGGAGCGGAGCGAAGCGAAGCGGGACGTCATGGGGCCGAGGGGGACAAAGTCTTTTGCGGTGAAGTGTCATGTAGTGAACCTAGACCGAAACTTCACATTCGGCAAGTGGTTGTCACCAACCGGTGCGGTTGTATTAGTCCTCCACGAATAAACCGCGTAAGCAGGTGTGGACGACCATGACACAGGACTACAACGCGCGCCTTCGCAGAGTAAACGCGGAGTTGTGGGGCGGGTCGGAGGGAGGCGGGGTGGGGTGGGCGACGAGCGGCAGAGCGAAGCGGACCGTGGCGATGCTTCGCGCTCGCGCCCGGCGCCTCGACGGCCGGCGCGCGGGGGGCGGACGCCTTTGTTTGTAGCCCCCGACACGCGAATGGCCGACGCGCCCAGGAATGCGCACGTGGCCCTGGCCTCTTTGCGCCCGTTGTTTTCACCCCGATCGGAGGCTCGCGGTGCGCAGATGCTTCGGGGGTTACGCCAGCTCGGTACGTCGAAGAGCGTAGACGAGTGAACCTGTTGCCCGCTCGCTGTTTACGTGCATTTCCTTCCTTCTTTCGATTCAAAAGACTGCGGACTGTTGATACATGTTGGTAACATGTTGAATTTTACTAGTGTCTAAATGGCATTATTGTATTTGTTAGGTTATTGATGTCTGCTGGTTCGTAGTTGTTACGATATGAAAATGTGTATAAATGTTTTACGAGTTGTACGAACCCGTAGAAAAGACCAATTAAGGAATGCAGTATCGGTTACTACTGACGCTGAGTTTGTTGAGCGAGACTGGATAGGGTTCGGAAGAGATTGGACACCTGAATATAGGCCGGAAATATTAAAGTGACGTTCTGGTTTTAATACCCAATTAGTTGCGACGTCAGGATATTGGAAGTTTGGCGAAACCTTGGGGAAGGCATTTTAGCAAATTAATCGGTTGTTTTCAAATGAGGAACTAGATATACTCGGAAATGAAGAAGCTCCAATTGAAGCGCCATTTGGGAATTGATTCTGGTAATAAGAATTCACAGTTTTTTGTTTGCGCAAATACATTTGCTTTGAGGATGATTTAAAGTGTTATTATTCAAATAACCTGAAGAGAGAGGCCAACGGATAGTGACGTTTAGTGAACAGCAATACACCTGCAGCTGAGTTAGTATTAGCGAAACCAACGATCGCAGACCTCGTGTACATACGCTGTTGCGAGAATATTGCGTAAATCACGAGCTGTAAACTTCTGGGCCAAAGAAGAATACTAAGTATTGTACCGTGTCAGTTGAATGGTTACGTCCAATTTGAAACAAAAGGCATGAAATCGAAACTGTTAAAAGCCATTTCAATAGTTAAAGCAAAACCATGCAAAAACGGTTATTCATTTTTTAAATATGTTGCTGGAACCGGAACCGATTGAAACGTTTTTGACCCCCTTTTCTGTTTTTGAAAATTCATAATTTCGTTGAAATTTTTAAGCTGAATTCACGTTATGCGAACTTTCTCCTAGAGTAAACAACAAATATTTGAGATTTTCAGAGAGGAGGCTTTTCTTTATTTTAAATTAAAAAAAATATAATTATTTATTATTTTAGTTATAACGATTATTAACTCATTATATATTATAATTATTAATTTTTAACTATGCAATTAAATAATACAAAATAATTGATTTTTGAGAATGATATCGTTTACTAGAGCACCGCCACGAGGTAGAACAGGATGGCGATCTTTCGCCGTTTTAGACAAAGGACCCAAATAGTAATAAAAGATAAAGATAAATATATGAACTGCAAATGGGCATAACCCGGTGCTAGCTAATTAAATATATAAGATAATACAGCTAACAGGCAAATTATATAATAGTAATAATATTAATAATATTAATATTAATAATAATAATAACATTAATATTAATAGAATGATAGAGTGGTAATTGCAAACTGGTTAGAATTCCTAGGTAGTTTCGGTCTCCTCGATAAATCGGCAGATAAGACCGGGTCGAAGGCCTCGCTGTCTATCCCTTTATGTCGCCTTTGGTTCTGTATTGCATTGATGTCTAGCCAGACGCGATGTAAACAGTTCGACGTTCTTTCTCTACACGGCTACATATTGCGAAAGTGTTGCCGCAAGGTGCGATTCACGTGGCGACAGAGCGTGTGAAAATAGGCGATGCGCAGCTGTTCTGGCCCTGAGCGCGGGCGGGCCTTGCACTTGCGGGTGTGGCGGGGGCCGTGCCAATCGTCCCCGCCCCCGTCCCCGCTCCGATCGAAGCGAAGAGCCCATTGAAGCGGCTGGGCTGAGTCAGCGCTGTCGCGCGGCGCCCAACGGAAGCGCCAGCACGGAAGTGCCAGCGCGGCCCTCGCCACCGCCCAACACCCATTTGGCTGCGCCACGCCACGCCACGCCACGCCACGCCGCGCCGCGCCGCACCGTTCTGCCTTTGAACGTGACAGTGGCGTAGGTTGTAGCGGGAGACACGGGTTAGGGGCGGTCCCGGGTGACACCAATTAGAAAATTGTATAGTTAGAATTATATAATTTCAATAATTTTTTAATATATAAATTAATTGTTGTTCACTTAAATCATAAATATACTGAGAAAGCAAAGAAAATAAATAATTTAACTAAAATCTGAAACTATAAACGGTAAGCACATATTCTTCAATGGTCAAAAAGTCTCAATTTTAACAATTATTTTATCTAAATATGCTAGTTGTTGAAACTACTCAGTTATATATATTTAATTGAGGGATTGATACCATTAGTTTTGTCCCGGGTGACACCAACTGAAGCTACGTCACTGATACAACATCGATGTCAAGGTTTTCAAATCACTGATGGTTTTATAAAACAAATGGATGTTTTATTGAATTCCAGGTTCTTTGAACATTGTTTTTTGTGCTCTACATTTTTATGTTTTTGAAGTTTAGTTCATGGATGAAAAATTCCTATAATCATAATTTTTTTGAAGTTTATATCTGAATGAATATTGCGTTTGTATTCCAACAAAATGAAAGCGATTTGTACTACTTTCATCAAATAGACTATTGCTCGGGCGAAATGATTATCTTGTAATTATATTTCCTTGCTGTTTCATTATATTTTGCTCTTGTAAAGGGATTTTATAACTTTATGTTGAGTTAAACTTTAATTACAAACTAATATACTTGGCTACTGGTAAATTAAATTTTATTGCGCAAGAATCTAATTATAGTTCACTAAAACAGCTTTAAAACATAGATGTTTAAAAATACTGTTGGGGTTTTGGCAGATGTATTATTAACAACCATGTTTTAATTTTGAGCATCGATGTTTGACAGCATTGATATTTTGTGTCGATATCACATGAATGCTGTCAGTAATGCGACATCCATGCATTTAACTCCCTTTATTGAAGTCCATGTTTTTTTAACACTAATGTTTTGTGTCTGATTACGACTTCGATATTTTCTTTTTGAACGATGATATTCTATAATAACAAAATACAATAATTTTCATATATCCATAAATAGATCATTTTGCAGACCTAAATAATTAAATATTAAACATAGACATGTTGGACTCTTTTGGTATATCCCATCAGATAACACAAGTTTTGTGATCGTTTCTGGTCGTTTTCGACTTTACTGTGTCAGTTTAAATTTCAATAAATTTGAGAAAGTGCTGTTGTAGCATCTCTAGTGTATGATTATAGAGAATCATAAACTATCCGAAAAATATTTTTCGAAGATAAATAAAAAAGTTTTCGGTATCGTATCCTTATAAAAATTAATAATATGTAAAACACACAAAACTTTCTATTTTGCTCCAGTTGCTCAAACTAAACGACCCATTCGCTGGGACCAAGGGAATTGTTATAGAAATTTAGAGTTTACGAGTAGATGGAATTTACGAAGGACTCGGGATGCCTCCCACCCCCCGAACCCAACTTAAAACATAGATGCCTTACGCGGGTTTCAAAACCGATGCTCGAGTGTTCTTTGAGCCCACCTGCATCAAACTGCTGCCTCACGAGGCTGCATCACTTGACTATACTATTTGCACACGTATTACATAAAAATATTGAAGAAACAATAATACAACTGACCTTTTTATGCATACTAGGCTTTAATGTGCATTGCAACGGAGGAGCTATAAAGCAAATAAAGTTACTATAGAATTAAAATCTTTGAAAATATGTTCATCCTTTGAACATGTTTTCCGACCACATCCTCCTATATAACAAATTCATTATACCTGCAAAGTAATAGAAGATTTTGCCAACAAACCGCATTATTCAGCAACACCAAATATTAAATTTATCTCTTCATCAGAAGTTACAAAAGTAATTAATCATGTAAAACATAAAAAAGGCGCCTGGGAACGAAGGGACACATTCAAAAATGATGAAAGAATTAAACAATGAATTGCTACCCTCGCAGCAATATGTAACACTATTTATAACAATATTTAACACTACACTTCTATTACTTCGTTTAAATCACTTCCCAAAGATTTGTGTGACGGCTAATACTCCTCCATTCGTAAACCAGAAAAATATCCCAGATTAGTAACAAATTATAGACTCATCAATTAACTTGCTACTATTCAGAAATGATTGAAAAAAATATCTAATAAGACTTAGTAAATATATTTACAAATTTTAAAGGTACGCCTGATGAACAATTTAGATTCCGCCCAAATGATTCTTGGATTCATCAACTTTTGAGATTAACTAAATATATTGCTGATAGCTTTCATCGAAAACAGCATACACGCAGAATAAATAAATTTATTAGGGTTATTAATCAAATAATTTACATACATTTTGTATTACTAAATGTGTCTGCAAGATGTCCTGCAACTTATTATTTATTTACTGGTACGTCCAAAAAGTTCATTATCAGGAGTGATAATCTGTATCCTTGTGCAATCTTACTCTTCTAAAACTGACAAATAATTGGGTTTTGTACTAGCATATTTAGTAGCAAAGTATTAAAAACTATAAAAATCAACTAAACATGAACAACGGTTAATCAGGACACTTAAAAAGCACTCGCAGGTACAATGAACATACGAGCATCTTAATTTGACGTAAAGACATTGATATTGGTGTGTAGCTTACCTATGTACTGTGCTTTGAACACAATTTCGCAAATAATTAAAAATTTTACCACTTCCAAATCTTGTACTTCTTTTAACTCTCTATTTAATAGAAACTTTCGTTGATAATTACATTTACTCATACATTTTAATGAGAAGTAAAAAGTATCATGAGCTATTCTTCAATTAAAATTGATATACAATATTTTGTTAAATGATATTACAATAAACTTTATCAGGAATAATAAATTGTGAAAACTGTTTTTTAAGAATTACATGGCATACCTTAACAATTTCAGATGATAAACGACATGATTACCTAAAAAATGTGGTCATGCTTCTTTGTCCCTTGTCTTGGTGTTGTTGAGGAAGGCCTTGTGAGTCTGCTGACCACAAACCGAGGAACCCGCAAGTGTGTCTAGAGTAAAGGTTAACATCTGTCCCCATGAGGGACAGAGAATATCTGGCGCGGATAGTCGAAATCAACATCCTTGAAAGCTGGAAAAAGCACCAGGAAATTAATTAATTAATTAATTAATTCGTATGTTTCTGTCATTACTGTAACTGAGTAGTTACATCTTCTAAGGTTGTTTCCGGAGGTAATATAATGAAGTTTTCAGATAAAATGAAGGATAGGGCAGCGAACAACTGCCGTCACGGAAAAAGCATTAGAGTTAATCTTACAAAGGCACTGAAACTTCCAAGCATGTCTAGATACTTTATTCGACGTGACAAAATAAATATTTGAAAAGTAAATCTTGTATTTTAAAATAATCCTTGCAATCAGCTTATTTGCCTTTTTTCTTTCAGTTTCTGTAGATTTCATAATTCAACTGCATCTTGTAGCGTTCAATGCAATACTTCCGCAATATGTTTCAGAGCGCGTCTGAACCAACCCCCTAAGCTCTGGCCATCACTCTCCTGGATAATAGTGCAAACCGTCAAGATACATCATATCCCAACTTGCCATTGCGATCAAACTAATTATGTAAGAAATACACTGTACAATATTCAATGTCCTTACTTTCATAATCAAGAACCAATTTACTAAATGTTTAAATAACAAAAAGTACATTGTAAATAAGCAGTAAATAAGAAGTAAACAAAAATATTTTGCAAAAAAAGAAATAATTTATTTGAAAATATTATGAAGAGTATAAAATATTTCTTTTTGTTAATTTGTGTACTTACTTTTTCATTCGATCCAGATTGAGCACAGAGATCCAAATAATCTTAGCATCTAAACCATTTAACATGTATAATTTTGATTCGAGGTAATGTACTATGTTTCCATTGTTACCAGTTCTGGAAAATCATAATGTTATAATAATTTACCAAATAAAAAAGCAGTTAAATGTCTTATGCGCTAAGATTATCGCGTGATGAAACTTGCAAATAATTTACATGAAATAACTCCAATTACGCCATTAACGAACAAAGTTTACATTACGATATCCCTAAAAAACTATATATAAATGGAATATACTTACACAACACCTAAATATATTTTATAATTATACAAACATATAATTAATTTTTCACAGTGAATGAGACTGAAAGATTTGTGCTACCACACTATTTTCTTACCCCCCCCCTTTCTCGCAATCATCATGCTTCCACGACAGTCGCTTCGGAAATGCGCGGAATTCCCCTTATCTGCTCCCCCTCCCTTTTCTATGACGTCAGGCGGCGATGACAAGATTTGCTCCGGGATTTCTGGAAAATAATTTATTTCATGAACTGGCGACCACAAAAAACAATGGACGTTTTACAAATAATTGGGACACTGCAAAGATTCTCTACGCATTTCTAAGTAACCTTCAATTTACAGAAACACAAGTTTTGCCCGCTATTTTTTTCAGATAACATAACCCTTCGACAGCCAATCGGATATCACAAAAAGGGAATAGGAACGTTCCGCAGAGGAAATGATTCGTGTATGAAGCCGGGCACTCTCGTACTTTGTTGACTGTGTGTAGAGGCATTTGCTGGTGACCGCCATGCTCTGATGACTGGACTGGCTGGCCTGGAGGCCCGCCAGGGGAGCGCTGAAAGGCTACATTCAAGTGTGATGTCCCTCGCCTCCGTCTGCAGTTTGGGGTGCGACCAACTGTCGGTACGTGGCACTGCGCAGGGTCTTAACCCCTTCGGTGGCCTCTCGTAGTCGCAGCGCTCGCCTCTAATGGGTGATTCTGTGGGTACGCTGGGCTACACCAATTCTCCCCTCCTTCGGCTGTGCTTGGGGAGCACATGTAGTTTTGTAAAGGAGTGGCAATTTTTGTTAATTATAATGAACGATAAGTTTAAGTTTTTAAAAAGTAAACTGACGATTTCTTCCACAATATTCCTTCCATACATATTTTGGTCTACTTTACATCAAACTAAAGATTGTTTGACAGTTTATAATAATTAAATTCAGTATTTAATGTTCTCTTCAAAGGAGGTGCATCCGCAAATGTTCCATTCAAGGAACGTGTTGAAAAAAACCACACTCGTTATCGGAATGTGAAATTATGGACTGCCACCCTACCCGAGATTTGTTGGATGCTTTTGTCGAGAAACTGTCAGAAAAATGAAACTAAAAATTATTATATAGGAGACGTGGCACAAGATTCGGTTTGGATTTTATCGTGTTCTTCTATCTTACACTTTAAAGACTTCCATTATTTTTCGAACAGAAATGAAGATTTGGCATAAAACGTGATGAGTAAACTATATAGAGAAATTTCAAATTACTGTAGACAAAAAACTCGATTTATATGTAACATATTTCTTTTAGAAGAGCCTCTGCTTTCTGATTCACATAAAATGATTCAAGATTTTACACAGAATCTGAACACTCAAGTTGGAATCACCATGAAGAGTGAACACTTGGAATGTGTTCAGGAAAGAAACTTCGTGAAGAGGGGGGGGGATTAAAGAGATGGATTGCAATTATTTTTTTCAATGGAACTGGGAAGGGCTATGAATGGGAGTTTCTCTTTATTTAAAAATCGCTACTACTTACAGAAGTGTCCCTTTCTGACGTGAAGGAAACTAAGTAAGGCACTAAGAGCGGATTCTTAATTCTTTTCTCTCAGGTCTCGTTGGAAAAAGATGGTCTTCCTATGGAGTGTATGTAATTTCAATTGCCAAAATTACAAAGTCTTCGTACACGTTTAAGGTATATCACCATGGTCTTCTCGAGTTATGGATATCTGTTGCATTTCAGAGACCCTAGAAGTCTTCACTAGTACGCCAAACCAGCCTGCCAAAGTCACAAATAATTATCTTGAATGATTAACTTCAATATTTTGCTTTATCACATGTAAAGCTAAAACAATAAAATAAAATATTAACGTGAAATTAAACTCTTTGCAAGGCTTACTTTGCTTTGCGCAATATCATTTCAAAACATTCACATTTATAGAAATAGGTTTTTATTAAATTACACTATAATTGTTGTTTGTTGTTATTCAAGGTAGCATCAACTCGCTCTCAAAGAGAGAGGGAGTGAGAGAACGAGATTATTCAATTGTGAACCAACCTGAAAGGAAAATACTTTCTACGTGCATATTCTAGAATTTTATTTGTCCACGGCACATTCATTGTTCAACACTGGTCTATTTACTTAATTGTGAGAAATTTATTGTTTAATTGCAAAATTGATAGTTCTTGAAAACTACACTCCATTTGTATGGCAACAAATCGTAGTAAAATTAGTTGTCCTTATTTGTGACGGACCAAGAGTTCTCACATATGTCACATATGTGCTTGACCTGTAATGCTGATCAGTCGTTCAAACTAAGATACCATCAAGCATGCTTAATATCGAATTTGTAAAGCATTTGTCTAAATGCAATGGCGAATTCTAAGAATGCAACAAACTGAACTTTCAAATATTCCACGAAAAATTGTACTTAAACTGATCGTTTTTGCAATAAACTGCAAGATGTCATACATTGTAAGTTTAGAAGTTACTCTAGAAATTTATTTACTTGTCGCACCTTTCATGCTCTTTACAGCTCAGTAAATTATATTAAAATATAGTGATATCAGGGGGGAAAATCCAGGAGTTTTGCAACTTGGCCTGATTGTGGGTTCCTACCACACATTATACTGAAAATCCGGATTGTTCGGATTAGCTGGGGTAGTGGAGGCGCTTAAAAGTGTCTGCGTTTTTGTTTGCTTATATCTCCGTAACTATAAATCCTACCTACAATTATGCTCTTTACAAAATTAGATCAGACAAAATTTCTTACAAAAATATTCGTATAATATTTCGTTGTAAAACTAACCCTTTTAAAGTTATAGACTTGGTAATGTCATGTTTTTATTTACGGCATGACCATTTATTAAATATCTCCCTCATGAAAATAATTTTATGACATTTTCAATGCATTGAAGTAATTGTATTTTTGTTCAACCATTGTCAATGTGTTTTTGCACATTATGTACCCAAAAAATGAACATTTTACCTCTTATCAAATATTATTTTCTCCATAGTTGCGAATATCCGATTGGGTCCTAGATTACCTCGGGTACAAAAACTGATAATCCATAGTTTATGTGACAAGGATATAGTACCAATATTTGGTAAAGGTTTCTGTACACTGTCAGCATATAAATTACACAAAATAGTATACGAGAACAAATATCATAGAGTACAAAAATTGACTTCGAAACGGTATTGAAGAAAATAAATATTAAAATTGATACTCGTTCATACTCGTATTAAATTCATACTCGTAATAATTGGCTTTGTTCGCAATCTGACAATAGAGTTGCATTGTGTAATGAGATTTGCTCCCAGACGTGTATAAAAAGTAATTTCAAATTAAATATGGATGTATTTGGAGACCACCTGTTAGTTTATGAAACCCGCTGAAGACGGGACGTGAACGTTATTTCCTGAATACTAAAATTACGTTTTTTTACCATCTAGAAAACAATAGATAAAATAAGGAACATTTATTATATTACGCCTTTTCCAACAGGACCTATTAATTGAATTCAATCTTTTTCGAACCACCACAAGGAGTCTGGATCAATGAAATAGCTTTACGAAGATTTATTTTAAAATGAAGGACAAATATCAATTCTTATACCGTAATAGTCTACTTATTTGTTGTCAATTGTAAATCCTTCATAAAGTGTTGGTAATCATTATTGCATTTGCATTTATTGTAGTCCAGAAAGAAACTGATTCATACCTCCTCATATTCTGGAAACTTGGGTAGCTCTCTTCTAAATCAAGGGCTGTTCGAGAAAGTATTGTGCGGAGCCTCATTGCCTCAGCCAAGTGGCTGCGGGGAAGATAAAGGCCGGGAAGTGTGCCAATCATGGTTGCCCGATGCGCCGATTTGGACCTGAGGGAGGTGGTTCGAGTCTGCTGACTGACGATCTCACACGTTCGCAGTGGGACACGTCTTTTTTAATTAACTGCATTTCAATGTATATTTTGAAAAGAGACATTGAAAGTAAGAAGTTAATTGATTTATTTAGGCAATGATCAGAAATAATTAGGGGAAGTAGAGGTCAAAATTAAATTTTTCACCAGGACCAGTGAACCCAGTCTCTCACTAAGGATTATTCTTCATATCTTGACAGTGTTTATTATTCTTCCTATTTTCTAGCGGAATATGAAAGAAGCTTGGCTCAAAAATCAATCTCGCAACAGAATTTTTGCCGGTATTAGATGGATATTGGTGACTAGTATAACACATCCGTTAAATTAAACAATTTCATAATAAGAGAATGTGAAGTTGATAAAAATACGTGAAATATATTTATATTTTAGTGTATATGTATTTTTAACATGAACATCAAGGTGGAAGGAGGGCCGTGGATCTGCAGCCCTGCTTTATTACTTGCGATAACGGTGAAACATTTGATAAACGTATATATTAAAGGAATAATACGATCAGAAAATGAATAAAACTACGAGAGCTACGAAGGTGCAATGATGTGCAAGGAAGACATACTATTTCATGAAATGAGGCCCACCGCTTATTGCATGCTGACCGTCGATGTCTTCTGGTCGACACCTGGCGGTGAAAAGACACGTATGGGATGCACTTGCGCTCGCGTCGCGCTCAAACCGTCGGCCACCGGCGTGGAGCAGGTGTGTGGCAGTGGGCGGGAGGGCAGCTGGAGCGCCAATCGGTGGCGGGGGGCGGGAAGGGGTGCACGCGGCGCCACGCCGTCTGGCGTCCCCGCCACTCACCAATACTGGAAGAAGTCGTGCAGCGTGCGACAGTCGGAGGCCGTGGGCGGCGCGGGCGGCGCGGACAGGCTCATGCTATGGTCCATTGCGACAGGGCGGGCGCTCGGCGGATGCTCGGCTGTGGGTCCTTGTTGCTGCTGCTGCTGCTGCTGCAGTGTTGCTCCTCTGCCGGGGCGTGTGGGCTGGGCCGGGGCGCGCAAACGACTGCTCGGTCGCCGCGCGGTTAAAAATACACGCGGGCGCGGGCGCTGCCGCCCTCTCGCCGCCGCCGCCGCCGCCGCCGATGCGAGAGCCCAGAGCCCTTCGCCCGGTGCGCCGCCCGTCCACTCTGCGGCGCTCTCCATCGAGCCAGAGCGAAGGAGTGGGGGAATCGGGATTCTCATGTCGAGAAAATATGTGCGATTTATGACGATTCAATCTTGAAGGCAAGTAAAGTAACTCGATGAAAATACCATCTTAGGTGGTGCAGGACATAAACGGATTTCACTGCAGTGCAGGATTTTTGACATTAGCCAGACGGCTAGGTCGAATTCAGGGGCCGGTCTGAATTGGAATTCTAGCGGCCGCCTGCTCTCATCGGTAGTTTTCTAATGAATACCTGGCAAATGTCTGAACAGTATCCTGACAAACGGGCTGGAGACCGCGCGCGAACTTTTTACCCTTCCTTGTCCTATTCTTCAACCGTACTTTCATACCTTAGACTTACATGCACTACTCTACCGCACATGCCGGGAGACTAGTCGGGAGCTTTGAGCTTGTCTTGGTGCGACATACCTGGTTGAAGGACCCCCGCCAGTCATGTAGGTCGGAGCCGGACCTCACCATCCCGCGGTGAAAGATCACCGCATCCTCCCGCGATAAACCGTGCACTACACCTACGGGACTAGTTGAACAGTTTGCGCATCCGGAAT